AAAAAAAACCACTCTGAAACACAACAGTAAAACGAATTCATACATTTTTTAGAAACATTTTACGTTGTGCGAAGTATTTTATCGTCCCATCTTTCATAATACCGTCAGTCAAGCTAGCACTAAAGCGCTTAAAGCTAAAAAATCCGCGAAAAAGCGAGTGACACAATGCGGCGTCCGTATGTTCGTAGCTACTTGTGAGGCCAGCCCTGCGCGGGGACTCATCAGCTAGCGAGTCCAATTTACATGTTAATTGACGTACGTCCGATGAAAAATCTCGATACGTGACACCCTTTGTACTCGTACAGCGGGTCGCACTCGCCTACAGCCAAACAGTCCATTATAATGAGCTCGAATTATGATGTAATTTACTTTGTTTTTCTAATAGTGTCATTATGTTTACTTAATAGCGTAAAATTACCACTAATTTAATTCATCATTATTAGAATCTTATGAGAAGGAGTATTTTGCAAAAGTAATATAGATTTGTGCATCTCCGAGATCAGATCAATGAGTGAGAAGGTCAGTCGAATATTTGAAGAACCAATTTTTCAATTGAAAAATTAAAACTGGCAAACGGAATATAACATCAAAATAATGAACGAGACATTATTACTTTTACACTTTAAGTATTATAATAGTCAATATTTTTTAAACCTCTTAACTAATAAAATTCGCGTATGTCCTTATACCACCGGCAGTAAAAGTAAACTGTTATTTATTTCCTCCTTGATGAAGAGTTCTTGTCTCAATTTTATTTATTCTCATAATTTAACAACTACGTGCGAATATTTAATTTTCTTTTATAACTCGATCTACTGAGTCAATTTCATTCTCGCTGTTTACGAGTTATAATAAAATTCTTGCGTAAATATATAAATGTTACGTAATACGTTGTGTTCCTTACATTATTATTGAGTGTATTATTTCCTTTTGTTTAAAACATTTGAGAAAATAATATTTTTCAATTGAATAAAAAGATATAAATTAAGTAATTAAATATATTTGTCTAGGTGTATACAGTACCCTGCTTTACAATTACATATATATATAATTGAATATGAAATATGAAACAGGGTAAACCATGAACCTAGAGCTTTGTATGGAGTATATAATTTTTTGATATAATAAATCAGTACACGACCAGATCACCTGATTGTAAGCAAGCGGCATCGCTTATGAAGAAGCTATAAGTACAATTCAATGGTCCTCCAACCGAGTTGACCCGCTAGTGCTAAGCATGGCTCTTGCACACTTTAAATCTATGTATTATCACCCACATATTTATTTACAAGACTGTCCTTAAATCATGACCGTATGGCCATGTCATGACAGTTTATTCCAACAGCTACCGTTACCAAAACAGGTACAACATTACAACAGCGTGAAACATCAATAACACCAAAATTGAATCCCACCTCTCCTCTTGAATTATTGAAGTGATGTGGGCAGCCGCCTAAGTAAATTTATAGATAAGCTGAGAACCTAATTTATTGGGTACAGTTCGAATGCTCAGCCGTGGATACTTCCCAGCAACTCAATTACAGTTGCCTGTCGACGGGACATTAATTTATAGACTCATATTTCACGATTATACCCTCTGTTTGTTGACTTGTTGTTATTACTCACTTCCTTATGGTAACCATATTTTGTGCTGATAAAATTACACTGACAAAGAGATCAGTTAAAGTATGTTTCTGTCAATGCTTTGCTGGCTTTGCTTTACTTGGGAAACGTTTTGAGGTTAGGTATCGATAATAGTCGAGTTACATACAGTATCATCTGTCATCGGCAAGTACGAGTATGTATTTGATACGTTAATGCTACGCCTTCGACTGTCGTATTCAGGTGTTTCGTAACTGGATTTGAGAAGACAGTACCGAGAAAGCCAAACATAGAAACTGACGCAATATGGAAACAAGCTTAACCCCTACCTACCTACCTAACTTCTAACCAAAAACATGGATATACTGTTCTATATAAATATATACGTCGAATGAAATACATGTATTAACACGATATCAAAGAAAATGTTCGTAGTCTGAAAACTATTAAAATTTTCCAGCTCGCCTAGTGGCGCAGTAGTAACAATAATGGGTATAACTTAGTTAATGTAACAATAACCTTAAACTGGAACCTGGGGCTTCCTGCTAGCTCCTGTTAACTATTGGTACGTTAACAACGCATTTACAACAACAATATTAAAGTAATAAACATTCTCTCCATTGGTGTCCGCGCTCCTGTAGCGCTCACATGTTCATTAAGATAGTTTGTATCTAATATTACTTCAGTTATCTGAATAGGAAGCAAACATTTAAAATTTAACAAAGCAAGGAGTCAGCAATATCGTAACTGGTTCAAATTTTCATAAGAAATTTTGTTTTTCAATATTATCTTCATTTATGTTATACTATTTTCCGCCCGCGGTTTCGCCCTTGTGGAGGATATAGTGACTAACAGCCCTGATCGCAGAACGCTATAACAACAATAAGTTCCTTTAGAAGTTTATAAGCAGACAGAGTTTCCGAAATTCGCAAAGAAATATCGCGGAAATACCGTGCGTCGTACGGCAATGTCGTCCAAATTACAGAGAAAGGACGAGGTGTAATTTTTTTATTATACACATGTGGTAGGTCAGCAAACGAACATATAGATTTATCTGGTTGTAAGCAGTGGGCGCCGCCTGTGGAGACCCGCAACAACAGACGATTCACGAGTGTGTTGCCTGCCTTTTGGGGAGTAGAGTTTCGGAGATGTAGGGATGGTTACTGGAAAGGTAAGGATTTGACCTCCGGTAAACTCACTCACACAGCGCAACATAACGCCGTCGTCATGGTTTCACGCCGGTTTTCTGCGAAGCCTTGGTATATTCCGGTGGAACCGACCTCTTCGTGCCGAAGCTTAGCTCTCTTAAACTTCAAACTTAAAAATGTGTAAATTATGTGCCACCAACTAAAATAAATAATACTGTGTCTCGCCACATGTACCGGTATGTACCAAGTGAATAGTTTATTTCATTCTCAACTTACAACGGAATAAGTAATATAAATCTCCCACAAAGCTCTAAGTGATTTAATCATTTCAACAGGGATCATTCATATGAATGAATTTCGTATAATTTTCTTTGTTAATTTACATTTATATTATTTTGGGTATCCTCTTATTTATTTGTTTTCTGTCGAACTCTAAAACGGAATGAATAATTTAAGAGATTATTGTTTGGTCTGATTTAAATACTTAACCTTATTGGCTTCAGGCGAATATGATCGAATCATTATGTTTTATTTTTTGTTTAAAATGAAGATAATTCTTTTAAACATCGAACCTTGTATTAAGTTTTTTGAAGGAATCTTCTTAGTGTATTAATTTTATAATAAACAACTACAAAGACAATCTAAGCACGCCGTACACACAGCTCGTAAAGCAATAGTTATAAAATCAGCATATAAATAGATATAGTTACGGCGTACATCTTTCAAACGTGATGCCGCGCGCCCGCAGCGCCCCACCGCGGCCGCGATATTAAAATGTAATGACTTCACAAAACATTTTCATTAACTTCCAGACGTAAGGCTCCGAACTTGTTGTCTGCTTGTATATATGCTAATGTGTTTGCGTGCACCCCTAACGACGTAACCAGCTCTGCTATTTTAGGTCCTAAACCTTTCAATCTAAGGTTTGTTTTCAAACGACGAGTGCCTAGAAATAAGGTACGATAAACGACTGAGAGAATTAGAAGGATTTGGTATATTGCCTTTTTTTGTTATTTCTTTGTTATGAAGTGTCATTTTGTTGAAGTCTGAAGGTAAATAGTCCCTAGTCACATTAAATTTAATTTTAGTGGAGCTCTTTGTTTAGCTGTTTTCATTTTGCTTTTGTTTTTTCTTCTACCTATATTAAGGAGAACTTTTAAAAAGATTTTTTTTATTTTTATATTAAATTTACCAAATTATCCATTTTATCATTGCTCACAAAAGTATATTTTAAATTGATATTCACGCTACGTTTTATTCAGAACACGTAAGGCTAAGATATTTTGATCCTTTCCGTCTTCTACATAACAGGTGAGATCTTTAAGCGACGCAAGAATTTTACCATCACCTTACGTAAAAACAGCTCTGTTAAACACCACCAAAATGAATAGTTATTTATTACATAACAAAAAAATATTAAGATAAGAGAGTATAAGGAACAATGTGTATCAAGTTCTCAACCATACAGTTGACCCCTTGAAGAGTATCTATGTTACCAAAACTGTCAGCAGCAACTCATCAAAGCTACGTGTATGGAGTGTGCGTCACTCCTCGTCCTCCACGTCAAATTGTGTTAGTCGTCCGTCCGTCTGTCGGGACAATCGGATTGCGTTGCTTCAACACGCTTATTAGATTCGGCTGCGACTCGCTGGGTAACCAGCGGAAAATATTCAGCCTACCTCGGAGGATTTGAAGCTCAATTTATTTAAAAATAGCTCCAATGTAACTTTACCTCCTTCCTACCTACAATGTAACTGTACTCCTGCCTTTTAATCATCAGCGGAATAGGTAAGGGAACAAATTAAATGTAATTCCTAATTGTCAACACTTGGGTGAATTTCCCAAACGACTTTTTTTTTTGTCTTCATTGAAATTAGTATTTGAAAAAAGGAATATTTTTCTGTACTATTTTTTTTTTTGTATTCATTAGGTATTTATTGGGTTGTGGCATAAAATATTATTTGTCTAAGTCTATTTACAAAGGTAGAAATAAATACATAAACCTCTATTTTTGTCACATCGGTGCTGTCCCTCTACTTTTTTTACAAGCAAAAATGCTTATATCGTTATAAAAATAAGTAACTTAAGAATATAACTTATTCTATTTCATAGAATATTAGTTTTATTATTAATATGTAGCATATTTTATTACGTAATTCATAATATTTATTACTGAGAGGAATAAATGTACTTGTCTCGCAAAATTTTGTCATATCGCTGCACAAAAGTAATTTAAACCTAACTTTGCATCGATGAGTCCGACAGTGTCCCCACCCCAATTTTTTTTCCCTCGTTAGTGTGTGCTAGTGCGCAGTCAGGACGGACGTGTGTCAAATCGCTGCATATTCCCGCCAATTACGTAAGTACGACATTTCAGTAACTTCCAAGCAATTATTTTATATTATCGGTGGTTGCATTTTTCTAGTGTAATGTGAAGTTTTATTACGATTGTTTGGTTCTAACAGACATAGTAAGTAAATTAGCATCATTATAGGTACTTGAATTTAGCCTAAATATTATACATTTTTCATAATTTTCAAAAAAGTCGATAATTTCTCACGTCGCTGTTCTCATATCGCTGTAATCGGTGGTCTTTTTTACCACCGATGTGATAATTTACACCGATGATAAGAAAAATCAATCGGTGTCTTAAATATCATATCGGTGTTTTGATTCATGATCGACGCATAGTTTTGTCACATCGGTGGACTGTTTTATCACATCGGTAGATCATATTATCACCTCGGTGTAATTTTATCATATTGGTAGACATAGTGTCATTTCATTAAAGTAAACAAAAAAACAATGGAGCTTACCTACAACCATACATTATATACATACATATACACATATTATATTTTTTAACTTTCATAAATATTAACTTGTGTGCAGCTCGTGCCGCACACAATTCGTTCGAGTAATTTTGTTTAAGATTAATTTTGTTTAAGAATGCTGAAATCAAAACTAAACGAGGAGGAGAAAAAAGAGAGAAAGAGGTTGATGGAAAGAATAAGAAAAGCTAAAATCAAAAGTGATCCTGTGTTAAGAGAGCAGCATTTAAGAAAAGACAGAGAACGCTTAGCTAAAAGAAAGGCAGCTGGACTTATCCTAACCCGAAGCCAAATGACTGCACATGCACGTCGCAATGCACAAAAGAAAAACCGAATCAGTGCCCGTGCATATTATCAGCGGAAAAAAAATAAGGCAAATGGTGACCGCAACAACCCAACAAGTGTTTCAGAGACCAATGACGCAGAATCGCTACCGAAAAATCAAGATAATGAGCCCGGTATTTCTCAAGAACTAATAGGACCTCATAGCCCACGGCTATTGCGACAGAATGTTCGATGTAATAGTCCTAATTTGCGTATTGATGCCATAGTAGCGAGTAGTTCCCACTATTTACGTACAAGCAGTCCCCTAGATTTATCAATAGCATCTCCTTTACGAACGCCAAGTATTAGTTCTATAAATTCAGAAGAATCAACATTACGCCCAAATAGTCCTAACTTAGACACATCCTTTAATACTGTTAAATTCAAACAAGACATTAAAAAGAAATTTCGTAAATATCAAAACGTTAAAACTCAGCAAATACACGATTTAAGAAAACAATTGGCAAAGGCTAATAAAGAGAAACTAATGTACAAAAAGAGATACGTGAGACTACATCAAGAATTTAAGAAATTAAAACAGAGTAATTTAGAAGTGAGACGAATCCCAACGAAGCCAAAAAATATAGACCTGCAAAAACGTATCCGTAAGATTGTTGTTCAGTTTTTTGAGGATGATGAAAATTCAAATCTTTGCCCAGGTAAAAAGGATACTGTCACACAAAATGGAGTAAAAAAACAGAAAAGGCTGATGAAAGACACAATTAAAAATTTACACAAAAAGTATTTGACTTCGGGCTACCCTCCAATCAGTTACGTCACTTTTACAAGAATGAGGCCGTTTTGGGTCACGCAGCCAAAATTAAACTTGAGAAATACATGCCTATGTGAGAAACATGAGAACATGGATCTTGTTATATCATCTTTAAAAAGAAATCGTATCATAAAAGAAAACACCACGACTGAAATTCTAAGTAGTATTTGCTGTGATATTTTTAAGGTAGAATGCCTGCAAAGAACATGTCCTGTCTGTAAGAATCGTCATTTAAATTATCAAGAATTTGATAACTCCAAAGATGTTATTTATTGGAATTGGAAGAAGATAAAAAAGAATTACAAAAAAAATGGAGTCGATAAAATAGCCGTTAATGTAGAAAAAGTAAAAATAACCGTTAAACCATTACAACTAATCAAAATATTTGAAAACAATCTGAAACCGTTCTTAACACATTGTAGTAATATACGAAATCAAAGTCAAGCTTTTAAGCACTACAAACAAAACATGACTGAAAAGGATTGTGTCGTTCACATTGACTTTAGTGAGAACTATAGCTCCAAGTACGGGTCCGAAATACAATCTATGCACTTTGGTGGCAGTCGTCAACAATTCACATTACACACTGCTGTAATTTACTATAAAAATAAGGAAGAGAATATAACAACTCAATGTTTCTGCACTATTAGTTCTTCACTGCGCCATGATGCTGCCGCCGTTTGGGCTCACCTTGTTCCAATATTAGAAGAAATTAAACAGGAAGCTCCAATTGTTCAGAATCTTATTATTATTTCTGATTCTCCATCAGGCCAGTATCGGAATAAGAAAATTTTTTATATTATGTCCCAACTCAGTATTTACTGCTCTTCTCTGACTAACATAATATGGAACTATAGTGAATGTGGTCATGGAAAAGGTGCGCCAGATGGAGTAGGTGGGCTACTGAAGCGAACGGCGGATCGATTTGTTGCACACGATGGTGATATGAATAATATAGACTCTTTTGTAAACTATTTAAAATCTGCTGTCCAAGGCGTGAAAATTAGTACTGTAGAAGAATATGAAGTTGAAGAAAAGGACTGGCTTCTCCCTACAAATTTGAACACATTTCGTGGAACATTGCAAGTCAAACAAGTCATTTGGACTAAAGAAGCTAAAAATCGTATGGTTTTACGTCGACTTTCTTGTATAGAAGATGAATGTATGAAATATGTTGTTAAATGTTCACATGGCAAACATCTAGACTTCCACAATTTGTCAACCGAACACGAAATTAAGTCTAAACCTCAACTTTCTACTTCGAGTAATAAAAAATCCAGAACTAAATCCAAAATAGATATCACTAAAATGCGACCAGTAAAGTTAACTGACAAATTAATTTTGTTCCCACAGCCATCACATTTAAAGTATTTTACACCATCAAATACATTAAAAATCTCGGAAAATGCGGCACCCAGATCATCCTCTTCGACAAAAATGTCTGAAAATTTGCTATTGAACTATGTAGATCTTGATCAAAGTACTCCTGCCTGTTCATTTTTAGAGAAAATTGACACGAACATTTTAGTTGGTTTAGAGGAATCAACTCAATTCGTAAATAAAGAGGATACGGTAAAAGCATCTAATAGATTTTCAAGTCCTACCGTGGAAGACAGTGACACCGATGAGGAAATATTTAGAATAAAATCTAAAATTAACTTTAAAAAAGAAAAAAATGAGCCACGTAAACCAACTCCTGACATCAAACAGAGATTTAATTATATATTTGGTTGCAGTGACACTGATGATGACTTATTTTGATCTGGGCTGATTTGTTTTTAAAATTTTTATTTTTATTGTTTTTAGTTTTAATTGAAAAAAAAAGGTTTAATTGTTGTAACAGATAATAATTATAAAAGTACGTAATTAAGTGCTGTGATTAACTATAGGTATACTACATAGTCTTCTATGACTTAAAAATCTAATTATGGTGCAATTTAATAAAAGTGGAGTATGAAGACGGTTCAAGTTCTGTAGTGATTTATGTTGAACATTTAAAGGCTGATTAACATAATAACCAAATTATACTGACAGATTTAATTTAAGTTTTTTTTTTAAGGGTAAAGATTATTTGCTAGATGTAAGATATAAGCGATCTCTATGTTATCTATGATACTTACGCACTGAGAACAAAGATTTAAAAAATATTAAATTAAGTGATAATTAAAGCTGTGATTATTGTAGTGTTGTTATGATTAAGGTTAAACTTAAAAGGCTGATTAATTAGGTATATAAAGTTTTCTTATATAAAGTTTCTATTCTTAGTATTGTTGAACCTAGAACGCCACAATGTTTTAAGTGTACACATGGCAAAACAATTAGCTTGATCGCCACATTAATAAATGTGTATTGTACAATAACGTACAAGAAATTTTGGTTTTTTATACTTCTTTTAAATAAACACAATGATAATAAAAAAAAAACATTATTTTTTATTCTAAGAAAATAATACCCTTAGTTCAGGTATTCAGTTCTTAGTCACTCCTTCAAAAATGTATAAGCCTACTATTTCTTTTTTGATGTTCAAAGGTGGATAGATTATCATATCGCTGTATATGTATATCACATCGGTGAATAAATTTATCATATCGGTGTACAGAAAAGATAATCGGTGCCGGATTGTCACATCGGTGGAAAACAGAATTCAAACTGAATTTTCTCCCTAGTCTTAAAAGATACGTTGATGGTTACCAATAAGGGAGTATTTAGTATCCTAAATATTACATTAAACATGAAAAAAATAAAAAATATATATAAATGAAAAAGTTCACCGATATGATAAGAAAAATGGCATTTGTTGAAATTCACCCAGTTTATGGGTGACTTCTGGACATTTAAAAATATGGTGATTGCATTAATAAGTTAAATGTTATGAAACATTTTTAGTTTTAATTCCGCAACAAACCGCATAAAATTTTGTCGCGGAATTAAAATTAGATATTTTTCATAACATTAAATGTCATGGATTTTCTCTTAAACAATGTCACCTACATTGTACATGCACAGGCATGGAAAGAACTACCAGTTTTAAAATGTTTTCAGTTTTCAGGATCTTGTGAGCTTCCACATAATTTGTTTAAAATTATTCTATAAATCTGAATTTTTATATTTTTATTTGATCTGGGATCCCACTAGAGATAAACACGCGCGCAATTCACAAAGGAGTAACAAAAAAGAATCTTGTTTATATTCCCTTGGATTTTAACGATTTATTCGCGATATATTTTTGTGTGAAATGCACCGATGCTATAAATCGGATTTAAACACGATATGAAATGAAAGCACACGTCGATGGAAGAACAATATTCGAGTAGTAAGTACATCAGCTACTTGTGACTGCTACAAGCGAGGGATGCGAACTACTTCAAGTTGACTTTAGAAAACTCTGAGACATAACTCTTATGGATAATCTATATGAGAGTGGTTTTGAATCGTTTGAACTTCCACCGTATGTCGACGTCGCTTGGTTTATTTTCTCTTGTTGTTGTATATGAACCAGCTAAAATGTCGTCAGCAATGATCCGTAAAAGTATTTGTTCACCATTTTTCCATTAACCTTTCAACCTGTCAAACAAATTGTTGCCTTACAAATACAAACAAGCACACTGGCTATTTAAATAGTGTTTTGCTGCCACTTCAAAGAACATTACGGAATAGCACGTCATGTACATAAGTTTGATCCCCGATGTAATTAGTGATCTTTTTTTATTGGTTAGCGCAAATTAGCTTGATGCCAATTTAGATTATTCGATGGCAAGCAATTGGTGTATTTAGACACCTGCAACACCAAATGAGATAGGTACGAGTGCATTGTAGGCCTTTTTATTAATTAGTTGATTGAGAATTAGTGATGGACTTAGATGGTGCTCCAATAGCGTTGGTTTACACTGGTTTTCTATAAAGCTATAAGTCCGACAGCATGGCTCTCCCTACCTACATAATTGGGAATTATTTTTTTACTGGCATTTTATGATTCATAGGTATATAGAATATACAAAGTCGTTGTTTACAAAATCTTGAAGACTTCAATATTCCCAGCACATAATGTTAGGTACAAAGTTGGTAAAGTTGAAGTCGCTTATAAAAAACACGGTTCACTGCTGATATTAGTTTTTGCTTGGACTTTAAATTGCTTTGTAACCCCAGATAGTGGAGGATGCCTCGCCCGCGCTGGCAAACTTGTGGTTATCAAGACAAGAGCCACTTTGACAGGTTTCCCTGTTATTGGATAACAGCTGCGTCGGTTGAGGAAAACTACGGCTGTCTTACAAATGTTAAATTGGCTAGAAGCAAGATGGCTCTTTTAAAAAATAGTTTTTCTCCTCTTCTTAAGCTGATGCAACTATGGTAATGGATCTTATCTCTCTTTCTAGATGAAGATAGAACAAAAAAAACGTGTAATGTGGGCTGACAAAGATATGCATTTTGACGTTTTCGTATTTCTAGCATAGGAATTATTCCGTAAGTATTGAAAAAAAACCGGAAAACGTAGTGTGGGCAGGCCTCCCACTAGGTGGACCGACGACATCGTCAGAGTCGCGGGGAGCCAATGGATGCAGGTGGCAACTAGTCGTTCGACGTGGAGAGCCAAGGGGGAGGCCTTTGTCCAGCAGTGGACGTCTTCCGGCTGATGATGATGATGATGATGATGATTGAAAAAAAAATATTTCACCAACCAAACAAATTTTTTATTCAGATTATGCCACAAATATGGCCGTTCAATATTTATTCCGTAAAACCAGCTGAACATTTAAAAATAAAAAGCATTGCATATCGCTTCTCGGTGTAGCGACGTATGGTTTATTTCGAAATATTCTTTTTTCATGACATTGTGTTTCAACTTCAGTCATATTTATTACATTTACATCGTATTTCACGTTATTATAGCCAACTATTTCGTAATTCACTGTGCTATCGAATATGACAAAAAGTATGTTTTTTAATTCGATAAGTAGGTGTAATTTCTTGGGATGATGAGGCTTTAAAAAGCAGCTAAACTTTTTGTAGTGGAGGAACACTAAAATATGAATAAATTAGTCGCACATATGGGTACTATTAGCAAATGGATTGAAATTCATGAAGAGCTCGCACTAACACTGCTTCGTTTCGACCTAAATGCCGTAAATTCCACACGACACGTCTTTGAGCATACACTATCTCCGCAGGCGGCAGGGGCTGCAGTCCAATTCCAAATAAATTGTGAGTGACGTCGACCCGCCGCCGCCGCCGCCAGCTATGTACGTTTTAACATCGTACTTGCCCATTTTTCAAACTCCTAAACTTTTATTTGTTAAAATATATGTTTCTGTTCCCATTGTGAGCGAAGGTTTTTTGAAAATAAAATAAAAACAAAAGAGTATAGAGTTATGACGAGTTGAATTGCTCGCTCTATTGTTGTTGTTGCGCAGTTCGTTTCAATTCCAATGTGAACTGCGGCAACACTTTTGTTGACTACAGCACTAAATAGGTCGCAGACAAATCATGGAGGCAGACAAGCTATGTGCAATGAAATTGGGGTAATTGACTTGAGTCTCCAGTTGTTAATTCTTTTATTTTGTCTTATATACTTACTCTGAAGAGTTGCTAGGTTTGATCCCCACCACATCGTTTCGCCATCGACCGTGTTCATGCCCGCCATATAGATGGTTGGCAGTCAACAACTGTGCGATTTTCTCTAAACTCACACTGCAAAACTTCAAAACCCTTCAAGAAACAAGGGTACTCCTTCTTTGAGCCCGGCAACGCGCCAGTAACAAATCTGGTGTCGCGAGTATCCATGAGCAGGGTTGATTACTTATTTTCCATCAGGTTATCCATTTGCCTCATATTCCATGAAAAAGACAAGTATATATACATTTTATGTGTAAGTTTAAAGCAAAAAAAAATTGGACTAGATAATTTATAAAGCAATCTGAAGTTAAATATTTTGTGGTAGTTATGTATACTTGTTTAATAAATTCCAAGAAACAAACAATCATTCTTGAAAGTTGAGACCCTGCCATCCCACAAGTTCAAAATTTGTAACTAAGAATAAAAACTGTTATTACCTTATTCTTTCTTCTGGCATTTTCCCAATTAATTTTTAGGTCGCCACTGAGTCTTGACCACACTTGGCTGAAAGTCAATATTTTGCATAGAGTAACTCACATCTGCACTTTACAACTAGGACGATAACACCATTATTTGTTAGATTAGATATCAGATTTATGAAGCTTGTAAATATGGCGACTATTATTCATAGATATCGTATAGCAAGAAGGTCCAAGAATTTATTGTGGCCTCCTAAACCACTGGTGACCTCTCACGTCTGGCCCTACTCGTGAAAGCGTCTCCTCTTTCTGCGAAGCAGTGATTCTCGTAAAGAACTATCCTACCACACCTCAGCCATTGCAGGAGATATAGCCGGGAAACGAGGATTACGCAACGATATCCGGGCATCGTAAGCGTGGACCTCCGGACCGCGAACAAAGGTAGCTCGCTGCTCGACAAGAACCAGTAGGGCGAGTAGTTCACGCTTCAAAGTGCCAATAGACCACTACATGGTGCCTGAATGGAGATTTATTCGGTCAGGGTTGTGAGCAAGTGCAATTATATACCGCGACCTGGAGTAGGGAAGGGAAGGGGTGGTTTTTACTCAGTTAGAGTCTGACACTTCGTCTTGCATCATCGGCTTGATGAGTTTTTACCATCAAAAAATCTTCCTAAACCATGCGAGTCAAACAACACTGATTCCCAAACGCTGCCTGCACATTAAATGCAGTATCCATTTTAATGTATTGAGGTAGATAAATAAGCTGCCATGATACTCATGAATGCAATGCTAAAGCAATAAAACCTTATAATAAATGATAAACGCGCATTATTTAGTGTTAATTACGCTGTAAACTATGCAAATGGTGACACGCCACCAAAGTGGTGTAACACGGCCGTGGACACTCGTGTACTATGTAAATAACATTGCTTCATTGTACATTAAGCGTTCTGCCGCCTGCATTTAGCGACGCAATCATATAATTTAACAATTATTGCGACTGTAACTACATAATATGTATGTAGATTGTAATTTGTGTTGCTGTACATGTGTTGTGTTTAGAGACGTTGTTTTATAGTAAATACGAGTAGTGGTCGGTCAGTAGTCAAGTTTTCTCGATCAAGAATAAGGTTTCATTAATGTTTTATGAACTTACAAAATTTATGATTATGTTTTACGCCTTAGTCACAAAACTGTATGACGAGGTACTCGACCGGTCTTTAGCTACGCCAGGTGCAATTTGGGAAATAGGGGATTGAGAATGGGGGAATTTGCCTTTCGGTAATCTCACTTACACGGCGAATCACAACGTAGGTGTTGCTGTATACCGGCTTTCTCTGAGACCGTGGCTGGTACAGGTTCTTATCAGTCTGGTCTAGCCATCCCCCGTGCGCCGAAGCTTGGCTCTAGGAGATCTAGACGATCAGTGGGAATTTTTGTTTTGTATAGGTAACATGACATTTTAAAGCCTCATATCTTAAGACAAGCTTTAAATCACATTATTTTTTTCTTAAAGTTGTGCTCCAGAACTTTGAAATAATATCCCGAGGTTGCACTCTAGGGGTGGCGCCACTTGAATATGAATAACTTAGTAAGTATTAAAACTCCCGCCTGGACCGTTAGGAGATGTCTGCAAGTTATAGAGCTAAGTCCAATGCTTCTCTGTTTATTTGACTAAGCTAATGAATTTAAAACGGAATCTGAGTCTAAGTTACATCGTACTTCTGAAACAAGAAACCAATAATTTATCGTAAATTAAATTCATAATTTAAGTTTAAAGTGTGGGAGAGCCATGCTTCGGCACGAATGTGTCGGCTCGACCGAAATGATACCACGGCCTCACAGAAAACCGGCGTGAAACAACCACAGCGTTGTGTTTCGCCGTGTAAGTGAGGTTACCGGAGGCCCAATCCTTCCCCTTCCCCGATCCCTCCCCAATCCCTTAATCGCCAAAACCCTAATCCCTAAGAGGTCGGTAACGCACTCGTAACTCCTCCGTTGCGGGTGTCCATGGGCGGCGCTGATTGCTTACCATCAGGTAATCCGTCTGCTCGTTTACCGATCTATTACATAAAAAAAGTAGCTGTTCGTGTAATATCTTCGCAATATAATTCCAAAATCTCATATAGAAAGAAACTTGCTTTATTATTAACGTGTTCAGGATATTAAATATTCCACACAAAGCGTCCATAACAAAGCATCTATTCATTCAAAATCGTATTAAAAACCTTACAAAGCGGACACCTTAATTTGTGTCCTGGATTTCTCAGCATCCAGACAATTGGCGCGACAGCTTCTTTGAGGGCAACGCACACAAAGAGTGACGTCACAGGCCAGGTACTCGCTAAACTGAACAAAAGGGACATCGCCAAGATAAAAGTATTAAACGTTCTAAGTTTCAAGGATTCTTTTTTCCTTTTCATACAGAGAGGAAGCCATGTTTTTGTTTTCCTTTTTAAAATATTGGATCAGTGGATTGAGAAAGTTAAATCAGTTCCATCCAGTGTGTTTGCGCGACGCAAATCATTTGTCCTCCTGATGGTATTATTTTTGCAATTCTCAGAACATGAAAACTTGAAGCGTTATTACAACATGTAGGTATAGAATGGTCGGTTAGAGTAATATTAGATCCTAAAGTCCTAACTTGATGTAGACTAGAAATGTATAACTGAAAGTAAGTTGCTGACGTGGGCTAGGTCGTAGCTCTGAGAACTAATAAGGCGACGACCTCGTGAGAGCGAGGGGAGGGCGGATGCAAGTGGTACAGCACTATTCTGGGAGCGACACTAAATATAGACATGTTAATAGGACATTAAAATATAACTAAATTAATGCTCTGCTTCAGTTTAGCACTAAAATAATAGATTGTATGAAACTCACTTACGGACAAAGCTTTTTCTATTCCGATAGCGCACGCCATTTAGTTATTCTACAAAAATGTAAAACTGAAAAGTTAAAACAATATTCAGGACTTTTATTAACGGAAACGATATGCCCATATATGCCCTGTTTCCAATTTAATTTTGGTATAATTTTATACGACAGTTTAGTTAGCATAGATAGACAAAATTGGATCATTCGGGTACAGCTCGCTCCGGTTTGGTGACGTCACGAGTTGCCCTAAAACTGCATATTTATGCGCGCGCAAACATACGACCGACTGTAGGCGTGTGTGGGAAGGTACCGGGAAGGTGCGAATCTAACGAACGAGTATTTTCTATATTTAGCTGATTGGTAGCTGAAGTAGGTAGCCTTATTATTGACATAGGCAATTATTGTTACTATTTCAAGTGGATAGCAAAAACTTAAGATATTGAGGTACTACCTCCTGATAAGGAAACAACTATATATATTTTTCGTTATTTATTTCATGGAAAATTAAGGCACAAACATTAACCGCAATACCACTCGGCGGCCATGACAGCTGCAGCAAGAAGGAAAAAAAGAAATGTTGGCACAACGCAGAGACAAAGTCAAAATAAAAGTTATTTATTACAAAAATAGGTATTATTAAATACATAATAAAGGTGAGCTATATTTCGCCTGTTACATGCAATATAGAAATGTTAAACACAATATTATTAATGATAGTTACAATGAATATATATCATTAATTATGTCGAATAGCGTAATATAAAACCTGTCAGTCTAGTCACCACATATTTATTTAATAAGTATTAATTGTTTGTCCAGAATGGTATTTAGAATATTACCGTATAATGAGATGGCGTCCGTATAATGTTGCCAACCAAGATTATGTATTTACCATATGTAATTATAATTAGTTGGATAACCACATACACACAAGGGTAAACAGTAACCGAGTAGTGCCCAAACAAGCTCTCCTGTAACTGATTGATCCGCAAGCAGGTTGAAGCAGTAATCCAATCCCCATTCCCATACCCCCCATAATCCAAACCTAGTTATATATAACACATTATTATGTTAATTCCGACATAACATTGTGGCAAACGCTAGTTGAATCCAGTTCACGGAGGAATGGCGTTTGAAATTCAAATGGCGTATTATACATATCAAGGCAGCCGTCTGTCTGTTCGCGGTAACCACGTTAAGGCAGTTAACCCGATGTCTAATTTGACAAATCTCGGTTTAACCCGGAATCTACGGAACGATAACAAGCTCTGGATTGAATGGAAACTTTTTTATTTTCAATTTTTCGACGGATGGAACACAAATTGGGAGTACTCGTAGTTTTGTAGCCAATTAATATTGTTGAAGTAAAGCTTCAAAATATCAGTTACATACATACAGTTTACATCGCATGCTTCTAAATACTGTGTACTGTTCTATGTGAGATACATCATTGTGCCACGCTCTCACTAGACACATTGTTTATTCAGTGTGTACACTAGTTTGCGAACATTGTGCAGAGCACATTACCCACACTCTCACCTCAAGAGCTAACAAACTAAAGTATAACAAGCTTCTTCACTCCGAGCTCCAATCACAAAGCAATATATGCAATCACTTGCCCAACTTCGCCGGCTGTACGCTCCGCACTACAAAGTCGATGCACTCCAGCCAATGTGTCAATGGTCACAATCTCTGCAACTCGCTCGATTGTTCCCTTTCTACGATATCTTTGAGCTTGAAGTGTATGTCGTGGTGGAAATTTGTGTATAATGTTCGTGATTTTGGCAGTTTCGATATTAAGCTTAACACTAAAATATTTGATAGTTATGGTAGGTAAAATATACATACGTAGTTTGACAGTTCCACAAGTCGTTTGAATACATAATATTCAAAAGAAGTAAGAAACTTCTTACTTTAAAATTATGTAGTTTGTGCATTTATTTAGTTACACACGTCTTGTTAATTTTGAATTAATTTTAATTAAGATTAAACGTGACCGTCGTACATAGTTCCCAACAACTCCTAAATGTAAAGCAGATGTATTTCTAACTAGACCCGAAACAGAGTGTTCATTTGGTAACTTTGTTTCAACAACTTGTTTTACCTGGATAGTCTAGTTACAGCCGGTACAGGGATCTAATCGTTATTAAACCTTTCACTAGAACAATATTTAACATGGTCGGTGTTGCTAAATATTCGCAACTCGTAAGAGAACTCTTGCCCAGCCCGCTATACATTTTGAATGGCAAACTTCTGCCGCCTACCCAATTATGATTACCACGAACCAAATTTTTGAAAAGGTCTATTGAAGCTAAATAATGGAATTTTCTCGAATTGAACACAATGGTAGGACTGGCAACTTGTAAGACTTGTGGAAATGTAAGTAAGTTATTGTAACACGGACAGTTTCCCGGAAACGTTGTAAACATTCTATTTTTATACGCTATACTACTGTGGTGTAAGAAGTAGAGAAGCGGGAACAATGTAACGTAGCGGTTATGTAAGTGTTAGTGTACGGGCCCCGGCCTCAAACACCTTGTAAGTGCTCACTTTATGTCCTTTCGGGGGTTAAACCAGAATTAATGATAAGTGCCGCACTAACGTTATTTGATGGTATTACAGCCTTATGGAATAGTCTTAACAAAGGAAGGAATTCATATGTAATAGTAAAAGTTGTGTTATAATTATAATAACTTAGTCGCAAGTGCTTCTGTTTGTACAATCGGGAACGGTTGTGGCGAGTCTGTTACTATAATTTGAGTACAATTTCATACTCAAAGTTAAAACTGATTTCATATAATTATTATTATTTTGATATAATAAAGGCAATGTGGGCGTGATTCTTAACACTCCTACCGCAACATACATCAGACTATAGACCTTCAGACAACGCTTATGTCCAAATACATTTGAAGGGGGCAAGCAAGGAGGAATTAATACAAAACATACTTTTTATTTCAAACAAGGGAATTAATGAAAAGAAAATGTCAAACCTTCCGATATACTTAAATAATTACTTTTCGCGTTAATACCCGTTTAATAAAATGTTGTTAACACAAAACGCGAAAGTTTAAACGTTACTCAGAAGATGCCTTCTCTACTTCTATGCTTTCTTATTTTTCTTGAAATAAGATCTCATTCTCTTGTTTCTATTGTACAGGTGGTGAAGGTCAGGAGCACGGCCCTGTGTTCCTGATGGAGCCTCCTCCTCGGCTGGTGTTCTCCAACACGACGGGGGCGCGGGCCTCGTGCGCTGCTCACGGGTTTCCCTCACCACAGATAGCCTGGCAACAACCCGATGGACAACAGCTTGACGATGTACCCGGACTTAGGTAAGTTGATAACTGTTTCATCTGTATCGAAGGTCTTCTTGTACTAATAAGAGAAATCAATTTAATATAACGTACGTTGTAAGACGTAAACCGGCGCCATACAAACTATAATGATATGTGTCCCAATATAACTTAAGTCAAGTCGAGTTTTATTTGTAAGAGTCATGTTATGATGGCATATTTATTATTATAGTTACTTATGAGTGTTTTATTTTATTAAACACCCGAACCGGCGTTTGCCCACATACTGTCTTTCTATTGCGTCTGAAATAACCACAATTAAAAGGTTAAAGTATTTTATTTAACGTCAAAATATAACATCGGAATGCATGTAGAATAGTTACTGTTGTGGTCACTTTTATAGTTAGTTAAAATATTTTTAGATTGGCTCCGTTCTAGATAAGATATTTTTGAACTAAGGCTCTAAAATTAAATTAATCTTCATAGATTAAATATAGGAAATAACACAAACTTAAAGTAAACATAACCTCAACTTGAGATTACATCACCAAGAAGAACTTTGCTTTCGTATCTTGTGTTATATTTATATTATTCAAATAAGTTTCATCACAGTACTATAAGGAAATGGCGCGGGTTCACGCGCACTGTATGAACTCGCTCGTATTTATTTGAGATGTTGAATAAGAAGGATCACGCTGCCACAGCTGTGGCCCTCATTCATGCTACATACATTAGATATTGTCATTTCAACAAGGAACATAGGATCAATAATATGGCGGATATTTTTCCAAACATATTTTGAAAGACAGAAGCTAGAAGATTGTTTTTAAATATACCTATACAGTATAATAGTGATAGAGATTGACTTTTATCGCTTATTTCGTAGACGTTTCAAATGTGTGTTTTAATCATGATTTCAGTCGTGATTATCTAGATATTTAAAAAGACTTAATTCGAATACTTACAAATAATAAGTAACTTAACCGTGCTTAAAATTTAAAAGGTTCATTGTTGTCCAACAACCAAATCCGTATGACACACAGTATGTGAGGCGTAATAAGATGCTTCCGTTCCCAACTCCTGATACGTCTCGAGGCTTCATTCAATACCAAGAAGCCAGGCAGTACTCTCGAAAAGTAAATAAACACGTACGAATATGTATCGCAAGTGTTGTATAATATAAAAGGGATCACAGCGCCACCTGGTGCCGAATGTGCGCAGAAAGTGCCGGGAATTACAATAAGATGTGGTTTGTCGACTACGTTCGGATAACATGTTTGTGTGCTGATGAGATTGGCTTGCGAATAAAATAGGGTAACTACGTTATATGCCGCCTCGATGTGGCTTGTATCCTTATATTTGATAGTAACACGAATCTAATATCTGTCTTTCTAAATCTTTGTGAGAAATGAAAATGTAGCACTTACGCAATGAAAAGTGCTACGGATTGTTCGAAGCATGCGATGGCCCGACACTATGCTATTTAAATTAAAGTTTAATACTAATTTATTACCTACTATTGTATGTGTAATAGTTACTGATATATTTATCTCTATCACAATGATTCAGCATATGACATTAACGCTCAGTTTAATTAATTAAGTATACTCGTAAACGCGGAATTATAAATTATTATTTTAGTGGCTGACGTATAGAGTTCACTGATTGTGATGTACAAAGCAAACAGTACTATACTGGTATGTTCATAAGGTTGTATAAAGGTTGCGGTCAGAGCTGGCAGCGACTGGAGGCGAGCTCTCGAGTGAGTAGCTACTCGCCAGCAAATATATTACTAACGAGAGTGCTCCACTGAACAACTGTGAGTACAGTGCGCTTTGCAATGACTATCTAGTTCTAGGCAATAAAATGAACAACTTATTGCAAACAATGGAATTTTCCTTGTCCAGTTTTTAAAATGAATGAACGGATAAACACCTAAATAATAAATTGTCAACATTTCTTAAGCACCAATGTGATTAAGATATAGCAAAAATATATTCGAGTTTCTGAACAGTGTGAAAACGGTTCTAAATACAAAAATTAACAAAGCTCCGCGTTGAATTAGAATCCTAGAGTTTGCGGTACAAACGGTATATCTTTATAATAATCCAAGTGTCGGGGCGCGATTCAGATGAGCGCCATGAAATATGTATCAGACATCGTGAATAGTGCGGCTCGCGGCAGTGGTACACCGGGAGCGATGCGCGCGCCCTCTACTTGCTTTTTCTTTCATTTTCATCTGCAGTCTGCACAGATATCCTTTGTGAATTTTCAAATGTTCGTGTGAACTTTCTTTTGTATTGTATTTCATATGAACAATGGTTTTAAAGGTAGTTTATCGACTTATATTTCGCTGCTGTACACAGTTTAGAAATGAAACTCTATTTTACTCATTCATTTCTATATAATACATCAGTAACAAATATGTAACAGCTACCGAACAATGTTTGAAAATGACAAGTGGAAAACTACCAACTAGCCATGGAAATTTCCATAATGAAAGCCCTTTATTCAAAACTATACAAGATAATTATTAGTTCACCTTTTACAGCTGAGTTCCTAAACTAACATTCAATATTATAATGTGACGATGCCGGGTTGCTGTGAACCTCCAAGCCCTCGTAACTAAGTTAGAAAGTAATAAGCTGATAAAATTATATTGTTTGTCCAAACTCCGGAGTCTAATCGAGTGTGAACATCAAAAATAATATCACGCCTCAGTGGATCGTAAATCTAGCGAGGCGAGTTGAAAGTGTGTGTGTTTAGGTACTAACATAATACATAGTTTATATATACGTATAAAGCTCTTATTTTAACTAATATAATATCTATATAATTCTGAATAGTTTATTTGTTGTATTTAGTGTGGGAGAGCCATGCTTCGGCACGAATGGGCCGGCTCGTTAGGAGTTATCACTCCGATCTACCATGGCTTACCGAGGTTACTGGAGGCCCGTTCCTTCCCCCCAACTGATATCCGAGGCCGATCCGAATTCATTCCGTAGGAGGCCGACAATGCACTTGTAGTAACTCCTTTAGTATTGCGCTAATTGCTTACCTTCAGGTGAACTGTCTGCTCGTTTGCAGACCTATGCCATAAAAACACAGTTTACAAATGAATACATTTAAAATTACTGTTTCAAGATTTATACCAAGTTGATCAACATCTATGTTGCATTTTGTATTTTGCAAAGATATTGCCGACCATACATTTTTTATGCATATTCTCAGTTAGGCAAACAAACTCTGATTGTATCCCGACCTTAACTCTTCTATCGACCAACCAGTTATTTGATTTGAGTTCCAGAATTCTTGATTTTTAGCGTTGTTCGATGCAGCAGGCCGGTATACACACAGCTATTAAGTAGCCCAATGTTCCCGCGAGACTTGCATGCAATATCTCACAATTATACCTGTCATTGTTCTGACATTATCTTGTCATAGCAATCGGGAAATAAAAGAGATGTCATAGTTGAATGTAATTTATGGACTTTGTTTCTCTTTCTTTATACGTCGTGTACACTATGTACTGTGTAATGTAGTTTTGTGAGTACTCAAATAAGGAGACAAGGTAAATGTTTTTCTTTAGTTTTTTTATGTGATACGGAGGAAAACGAATTAAACTTCCCCTTCTTAATACTATTATTTTAATTAGATCAGGAGTATCAGTTACTTGAGCTCACCATGCAATTATAGAAAATAATAATTCTCAAATAACTCAAGGACTATTTATTAACTAATTAAACCGCTTATGTCGCCCGCAAAACCAAAAGAGTTACTAATGCGCTCTAAGCCTTTGGGGTTTAGAGATTTAGGAATTGGAGAGGTGGGGTGAAAGGATTCCGGTAATCTCATTGATACGGCGAAACACAAGGCTGTTGTTGTTCCACGCCATTTTTCTATGAGACCGTGATATCTCCAGTCGAGACGACCCCTTTGTGCCGAACCATGCCTCTTCTACACTTGGACTTAGGTTTAATTCATTTAAATTTTACTTAAACTAGTAGGCATCATATAACTGTTTTAAGTATATCGAACAAAACTAATATTCAATTTTTTACAAGAACAGAACAGAAACAAATAACACAACACAAACAAGTACATATATATATTTGTATATAACCAAGCTTTTTCATTTTGATGTGGCCCAATCCATTCTAGGAAGGTATTGCAATATCTTATAAAGATACCCTTTTTGTGAGTACCTACGTCGCATTAGGCAGCAGAACTGAATGCTCGCCTGCTTCTAAATATGGCGGCTCGCTTCCTGATCTCACTCGATCAATAGTTGACGCTATTTTCGAAACCAAGCCTCATTGTCATTTCGGAAATAGTCCTAGGAATACTCAGTACGTGCTATATTGTAGGTCACGTTTGACGTCACTGTATTTTTGTTCCTAGCTTCAGACTCGAGTTTGGTGTTTGGGGAATAAACAATATCACGTTATAGTCTCCGTTTTTAGAGTAACTGAATAGTGTGGCTGACTTTTTTTTTCAATTATTTTTGTTGAGGAGGGGTCTCTAAAAAAAATTGTTTTAACAATGTCATCCAATCTCAATTCCCAATTGAACTAACATTTTAACAGCTGGTTATAACTTCCAGCAACTTTTTCTCAATTCCCTCGATAGCCAGCTTCATGTATCGCGATCAAATATGAGCAACAATATTTCAAGCGAGCACCACCGCGGGATGACACTAGTTTGTAATAAATGTTATTTTACGGTGTACCGTGGTCATGTGTCGTAATAAATAACCTCTATTTTCAGTACAATACAAGTGATATTTCAGAGGTGTTATATTCCCGGGAGAGGGCGCTGGTAAGACGTTTAAAGCCAAAGTGTAGGTTTACTGGACCCAACGTCTATTCCTATATTTTTATATCGCCCAAGCTTGTGAATATCTTTTTTATCACAATAACAATGAATACAATTCCGTCCCAAATTCCATTCAAAATACCCAGTTGTAAAATAATCCGATCGTTGTTTAAGTTTTACTGTATTGTTTAGTCTTATAATAAATAGACACTTTAAATAACTTCAAAGTACTAAAGTAAACTTCCGACGATGTATCTAAATAACAATATAGAATTATGAAAATTGGAAATATTGGGAGACCTAGCAATGTCTTTGATAACCTTTTATAATTCGTGAAACAATTTTATTTTGTTACCGTTTGGATTGCGTTGGTCAACTCTATGATTTTCTTCTGTGTTGTCGATACGTTTACAATTCCACATTATACATTATACTCGTCACCCAGACGAGGAACAGCAATGTTTGGATCATACATTAGTAGTGATTTGTTCCGTAAGGATTCCAAACCATTCAAACGTTTTCGACGTTGCATGGCATCCAGTTGCCCACCGGTTCAACTGTATAGTGCTAAATCATTTATTTTAATAATATTAAAAAAAAAATAGATATAATTATAATAAACAACTATAAAATAAGTGTACTTATGTGAGTATTGTGCTTTCAGCTTTACAAGCCACATTGTCCTATTTTTAAAACAGTGCTATTTAAACTAAAATATAAATTTAGTCGTGTAATCTTATCAAGTTGAAACTAAAACAAAAAGCGAACAAACATTTCGTGTATCGCCGTCACAGAGACGGATGGGTGACTTATGGTGAGGTGATACGCGTCGCCTCGTATTTCTTACTTACCACCAAGACAGCGGTAATCACCGGGCCATCAGACACGCGAAGTGGTGATAAGTACGGTGATTATTTATATAAATGGCAATCATTTTAGATTTGTGACTCTTAATTAACAGGTTTTTTTAAAAAAAACTTCTTTTTTTTTGAAGTGTCGTAGTTTTCTGTTAATTTTTTTTTTAACTGAGGGAAGTTCTATGTTTTATAGAGATTTTTGGCCTTTTTTTGTGAACACAATTTATTTACTACTCAATAACGTAGTTTTACCCAATCCAGTTTATCTTAATTCAACTAGACAATACAATTGATACAAATATCTATTAAAACATTATATAATATTTCTTCGTTAAACAAAATAATGGAATATTTCTCTTCAACATCGCCATGTCTGAATGTTTATAAAGTTCCTTCCCTGCTAAGCATGTTACTCGTAAATATGCAGATAGTTCGATCATTATCTTTAGCTTTGCCTTCGAAGGCCACAGTCGAAGGTTCCTTTGTGTTGCGATGACACAACTAATAATTAGTTTCTTACCCTTGTAGTCTTAGAATGATCAACTATTTAGAATACAGAATTACATTACGTAAGATGAATAGTGGTGGCCTGCAGGTTAAGGAGCCCGCTTCTCATGAGATGACTTTTTCCGAGTTATATAAACGTTCTCGACATAATATGATTATTGAGATTCTATGACCACTGACATACGGTGAAGGTAAACATCGTGAGGAAACCTGGACTTATGATTTCTAATTTAAGTTTGAAATCGCGAAACCCGCATTGAGCAAGCTTGGTGATTAATGCCCAAACCTTCTCCTGGCTGATGATGATGATGATCATGATGAAGATGAATAGAGCTTTGTACCTATATACTAGTAGATATTCTCCATAGGATTTGTAAATGTAGCTTGAATAGCGCTCCCAAAGGACATAATAGACGCTCGAAATTGCACACTACTATATAACCTCCAATATATATATACAATAATATTATTTTACATCGTGATTGACAATACAATATTTGCTCGTAATTTACCAAAGAAAATATTGTATGTTATTTATTGGATACCCATTACGGAGCTCATACGATATGAAAATGTTTTGACATTCGTGTCAAACACACAGACGGTGGCAAAATATATACGCGTGATTTTTGTAAAGCAAAAATATTATGTCTCGAAATATGGGTAATGATTTTAACGTAAAAATGTTATGAAGGTAATTTAATAAGTAAAGAACATACTATAGGTATAAGGAGCTCTTGCCCACAATTAAAATTTAATACATTTTCAAAATTATAAATTAACACATGACGAATCTTTTTAGTTAAGTAAAACGCGAAAATTATTATCTCTCATGAAATACTATTTGTTGAAATATCATAATTCTACTAATATTATAAACGCACAAATTTATACATGTAAATTTGATTTGAAACAGATATTATAGTCTGTAATAACACGCTGTAACAGCTCGCAAAAAACATATATTAAGTACTAGAAGTTTAAAAATCAATAAACGGCATTGACGGCTTCAAATGTAGCATCATCTATCATAAAGCTGCCCAAAACCTCAAAACAATTTAGGATAAATCCAAGTAAAATTAATTAATGTAATACACGTTAAGCTTGAGGCTTTCTATTAGCTCACAAATGAGAAAAAACAATAAACGCTCACCCTGTCCCTTGTTGGTAAACAAGTCACACCGTGTTCCTTTCAGATTACCATGCAAGCATTCATAATCCGTGACGTCACCGCAATTACTGACGTCATAAATAGCTGGAACAAAAGAGTGTAACACAAAAATCCTATTGTTGGCGGCGTGTGAACTTGTTTGTGTGTGTTGCGTCACATAGCTTGCGATGTACGAGGTTAGGGGAATTTTGTAATTATATCTCCCTGATTCTATGGTAAAAGATGAGCCTGTTAAGATGAGAGAGCTACGAGAAACTACCAAACTTTGATTAGAGTACGCTACTCAGGGCCTGCCAAATAGTCTCATACAAAAAATTTGCCGGGATGAATTGTAGCCACCTCATACAAAATTAATCTAGTCTTTGGTAGGCACGAAGAAAACCACTTTTATTTACTGACGAAATTAAAGTAATTATGAACAAGGCACTATAAAAGTACTATTATGTATAAGTGTTAGATAATGTCAGTGTTTCTAGCTAAAATATTTCAGTATTTGAAATAATGTACGAGTAAAAAATGTTAGTGTAATATGTAACATACATAATATGAGAACAAAGAATCGTGTTCGGATGAAAGTCTTTTGTTTCAGCTGTGTTGCAATTAATTACAAGACAAACGTCATGAGACCGGTGCGCGGTGCCATTGTAAACATGAA